GAAATAGTAAACCAAAAATGTGGCAGTTACTGAAAAAATGTCCCGATTCCTGGACAAGACCTTTTTTTTTTTGGTCAAATATAATCTGATAGTGGATTGTCAAAATCTGATAGTGGATTGTCAAAATAATTGAGAAGTTCAAACATTACTCTCATTAGAACATATTAGCAATAACTTTGAACAGTTATCAGTGAGGCTACCCGCTCTTCAGAGATCATTGCCTGTGTTCTAGCAGTCTAAATTCATTGATTCTTCTTGATTTTGCCCTGGAAACACACATGAATGTCATACAATGGGGCACTCTAGACCCATGCTGCTAATGCCACTAAGCCACATAGATGACAGGAGGCTGGCTTTCAAAATACCAACCAGAGGCCTGGTAATCCCCATGGCTGATATTTCTAGTGCTCAATGCTGTCACAAGGTTTAAAAGCTGCCATTTTTTCCTTAAGCATAACACTGAAAACGGCAAAAATGAAAGCTATGTGGTTCATTTATCTCTCCCTTTACCCAGCTCCAGGAGGCTGTCACACAAACCATTTTAAAATCTGTATAGATAAACTTGTATATAGAAATATATCGGAATACAGAAATACAGAAATATAGGTGTATAGATACAATATATTTATAGATATAATATATTCATAGATGCATAGGTAAAACTATCTCTGGGCAAAGAAAGTAAGGAACAGGGGCAAAAAACTTCCCTGAATGCCAGGATCAGAGAGGGCTCAACATTCCCTGCTTGTCTACAATGGCAAGAAGAAGCCAAGGTGTGTAGGTAACATGATCATGGCTTTGCCTGGAGCCTGAGCTTTGCTAGGAAACTCTACCATTGAGCTAGGCAGTAAATGCTGACTCAGGGTTTCCACTCTCTCAAGGTGGAATAAATTTTGGGAAGTCGCTGACAGCACTGAGGCTGGGCTCTTGTTGGGCTGTGCTGAGATGATCTGAGGAAAGCAAAAGGAAAGAGCTGCCACGTGATTGAAATCCTAACCCATGCAATTGGTGAGACTTGCAGTTAATGTCTGTGGAGACAGGATTGCATACACTGATTTATGACGACCGCTCCCCACCTTAGGGACCCTCATTGCTTGCCAGGTTTTACACTGGGGTTCACGCCAGATAGAAAATTCCAGTGACAACATTGTCCTGAGGACTTCAGAGGCACCAAATGTCAAGGGGATAAGGAACAGTCTAGAGCTAACATGGAGGATCTTATTACTTGATTAAGTTAAGGGTAAGGAAGGTTCAGATGGAAAGCTGTGAAAGCTTCTGAGTAACATCTAGCAGGTTCTGGAAAGACCCTCAAAGGAAATGCTAGAAGCAGAGTATCTGCAAATGAGAACCGTGATGAGGCTTCTTGGGTCAGAAGAAGTGCACAGGAGGGTGACAGACTCTGTAGCTTACCGTTAGCACACATACTGAGTGAAAAGTGAAGGTGATGTGAAAGCTCAAGCCCAACAGCAAGTTGTGTGTTTTATGGGAAATGGTACCAGGTGATAGGGATTCCTTAGGATTCACCTGCTCTCCACAATGTTACAGTGATGCCTCGTGTTCAGAAGTATTCTTTTCCAAAAAAACTACAAAACTATTTGAAAACAGATACTGAAAGGATTTGAAATGTATGCCATATTGTGATCTGGAGGTTACATCGACCTTGCAGGTGTTTCTGGGTGCCAGCATGTTTCTGATACCTAGCAGAGCACAAAGCAGAACCTTAGAGCAGCTCTGGGCTGCACAGTGCAGCCTTGTAACAGGGAAAAAAAAGTAACAGAAACAGCTGACTTCACCTTTTACTGCTATTATGTGGGGCAGTCAGCACCAATTTTGAAAACTGCTTGATTTTTTTCCTAAAAATAGCCTTCCGGGTCACTTTTAATCAAGTCCAAATGGCCAAGTCTCTGCGTTAGTAATTCTCCTATAAATTAAATTTGACGGGGATACCTTCAAAACCAACATCCAAGCATTTAAACAAGTTGTCTCAAACTCAATTCTGACTCCAACCTTGTAAATCATTGCCAAATATCACAGAGCTTCACAGCCTAATCCTCTGAAGAGATATCTAATGCTGTGTAAATCTGTGTCAGGAGGACAACATCACTTGTGACGTGTTTCAGGGTGACATTTACGGCACTCCAAAACAAATGGTAACCTGCTCAGATCCAAAGTCTGGTCTTGCAGGATTTGAAAAGAACATCTTCTGCCTGGAGAGAAAGAGGAGGTATAGGACATATATCCGTGTTGAGGGAGGAAGTATGCAGATGCACAAACCAAGGCAGTTTGAAGACCTTGAGAAGATCTGACTTTCAGTCATTGTGGGTGAAGCTAACAAAGAAGGGTGTTGGATGCTCCGTGTTTGATTAATTTTCTTTTTAACCTTTACGTTTGTTTTACAAATGAATGAATTTCCCTTGGTATGTGAGTGTACAGATCTTGATTTCTATCACTAAGCATGCTATCATTGAGCCGTTTTTCTTATACCTCCAGCCTTTCTGGATAGAAAGCTCCAAAACTTCATGGGGTTAAGGCCATTTTCTGCAGTGAACTTTCCATCAAAGACAGAAATAGTGTTACTATTTCAGAGTCACTCCTATCATGATACCTCAATAATGCCAGTCATATTACAGTTTTAAGATTACTTATTTGAATGGCTTTAGTATATAAGTATGCTGTGCATTTGCTTACTGCTATTAGACAAATCCTTCAGCCCTTTCTCATTATTTAGGCAACATTAAGTCAATGGGGAGAGTGAATGAAAGGAGGCTTTGGACTGTATGTTAATGCAACTTCAGAATACAGGTTGTTAATTAAGGCTGATAGGGAAGACAGAAAATGGGTGCTGCCTCAGTTTGGAAGTGTTGGTGAGTTTCAGATGGTTTTTAAGTCAAACTCAGATTTTCATCTTTAACTGTGAGCATTGACTGAGCAGGATTTAGGTGAAAGAAACATGCCAAACCTATTGCATTACTTTAAAATACCTTCTTAGGTGTGCTTATGTCATGGGTTCAGACCTGCTTTCTTGGAGATGGAAGCAAAGGCTTCAGTGGTGATTTTTACCTCCCCAGTCTCTAAGGGACCTAAGACATCAGACCTTGAATTCAGTCTGCCTGTCTACTGTGATATTTTTATAGCACACTCACCACTAAAACCCAGAAGTGTTTATTAAGATCTTCCTTCCACGTCAACCACTGGGTCTGTACATGGGAGGTGAGCTAGTGTCACACCTTGTTAAAGACAGACATGTTAAAACGTGGCAGCCTCTGTGCCACTTAGTCATCTGCAGAGGTGGGCTGTCTTATCCGGGCAGATATCTAGCCCGCTGCATCCAGTCCAGGCTTGATGTCTCTGAGACCTCCTGCCCTTAGGCTTGCTGTCACTCACATGCCACAATAAAGCCATCAATAGGTAAAAAATTTAACCATTTGAGCAAGTTTTACAAAGACACTTAGCTGTGCAGACAGCACTTGTACATAAATGAATGCATATTCAGAAGAAATATTGCTCCATAGAGGACAGCAGCTTGCAACTTAGGGGACCAGGCTCATCTTATCCTGCTTTATCACAAACCTCATGGGTGATGCTGGGCTGATCAGCCAGCAGTGGGGTTCAGAGGAAAAGTCATCTCATTCTAAAATGAAAAGGAGTTTCCCACCAGAGCTGTCTGTTTTCATGGAGGAGCCTAGAGTTTCCTTTTACATTAAGCACCTAATTTTTCATATAGTGTAGAAGAATCCCTGTTTTTAGACTTAGCTGCTGTCTTTAAAATGGCAATAAAGCACACTGCTTCCAGATAAGCTTTGCACATTCACATTGGTGAGTGTGAGACAATCCGATAATAAGATAACTGGGGCTGTGAAAACAACTAAAGTAAGACAGGAATAAGGGAACTGTGATGAGTAATATGCATAGTTCTCTGTCTTCTAAGAAAATAATATTTTATAATATGTGGCAATCAATTTTAGTTCTTTTTTTAATACATACAAATTGGCATGATACCTATGGTGCTGGAGAGCTGTTTGTTTCTCACTGCCTGCTCATTAGGAATTCAGACTGTGAACACTGATTTGAGCATGCAAAACCCAGTTGCTCCATGTCTTTGTTAATCTGACCCATTATCTGCACTGCCATTCAGTTCATCCAGACTCCAGTCCTGTGCCTGATAGCATCCACATTTCTAACCAGCTGGGCACTACAAAAGCTCTGAGAATAGGAAGAGCATTGGAACCCCTCCATACTGTCTCCAGATTTGGAAATAGATAGTTTATTTCAAAGACATAGGCTTTGAGGGGTATGAACCTGAAAGTTGAGCACCTGTCAAGTTTCCTTCTCTTTTAGAGACTGCAGAAACCAGAAAAAGTGAAAAAGTGCAGAATCAAAGAGTCATATGCATCATTCTCTTAGAGTCTATGGGGTAAACTCACATCTATCAGCAATCTAGAAGACTTGTTTCTAATCAGTAAGTTTAAGATTAGTAATTGAATGGTAATGCTAAAATCTTTTATCTCTGCTGGAAATGGTTAGATCTTACAGGTGCTTTCATCCAGAAAGCCCTAAATTATAACGCTTACATGACTCATATTTTCAATAGTGGAAGATACACACACCTTGAGGAGCGTACAGGAAACCTACAGTGCGGGCATCACAGAGCGGTGGTTTTGTAATGGTGATCTCCTTTCTCATCCACTTTGTGCAAGCTGACATTAAGAGGAATTCTGTGTGCTTAGGTAAAAGAAAAACAACTCTGAAAGTCTGTATTTCTGTAAGTTTTGCATTAAAGTGGAAACAAAGGTTTTGTGAGTTGGTAAGAGTTCTGTATATGCGTGGATGTAAAAATCTCCTTTTTTTCTATGTTGGTCTAGTTTAATGGCTTCCATTTAAGATTTTTTTTCCACTGTTCCTCTAACCAGCTGTTTCTTTTCAGGAAGGAAAGTTAGAAGAGAAAGAAAATGGCAGGACTGTACTAACAGATTGGATTCTTGCTTTGTGTCTCCATTCAGGTCTCTCTAATAAGCCTCATCGCCAATACACTTGGATACTCTGAGATGGGTCCCATTAAATCCCTCAGGACCCTCCGAGCTCTGCGACCATTAAGAGCATTGTCACGATTTGAAGGGATGAGGGTAAGAGTATATAAAGCATCAGTTAAAGCTCAACTGTGTGACGTCAAGCATGCAACAGGGAACTGTTGCACATGGTTTTGTCTTCACTTTGTCTTCCAAGGAAGTGAATTATAACGCTGTATCAAAACAACAAAATCACAAATCCCTCCTTTCTCTTGATTGCAATTGTATCATTATAGCTTTACCCTCTGGTGGATTTAATGATAAACTAATCCTGCTGCCTAACTTGTCATATTGCACTTTAAAAAACAGCTTTTTGGCCAAGGAAGCATCTGGCTAACAATTACCTCTCAATTATAAGACGTATCAGGGGAATAACCAAGCTACAAGTTTACTCCCTGCTTTTGATATGTATTAAAATGAAACTAACTGGGAAAGTTCTTAAGGACTTTGTCACTAGTAATTAAAGCAAAAATTAGAAATGCAAAAGTTAGGGAAAGCAAAGGAATTAATATATAAAATCTTTCCTTTGAATGGATTGCAGTTTTAATGTGGAATGTCAGGATTAACATTAAAACCATGTAGCTTGTGTTCGTTGCTCCATCTTGTGCATCCATCTCTTTGCCTTCTGCATTCCTTTGCCGGCGTGGCTATATCCACACAGCATACCTGTTTCTTTGTTAAGCCTACCCACTACACTAATCAATTATTGTCTAGATAACCACTTTATTTAACTTCCTGCACCATGCATGACTTGCAGATGATGGCAACTGTGCTCTGTATAAACTGAGGTTACTGCCAATCTTGCATTGCAAGATAAAGCAAATCTGTGACAAAATTACACGTAAATCAACTTACATTGTCTGATGATCCCAAATCTCTCTACTAGGCCAACAGAAATGCTACGATTTTCCTACTGAGGTATATTCAGGGTAAAGATTTCCTGTAGACAAAATTTTGGTCTAAATCATCAGTGACTAAAATGTGTAGTTCATGCACTCGGCTCCTAGCAATTAACTGTTCTCATTGCCATAGCCTTGCAGTAACACAGACTGAAGGTTAGAGAGCCTAACAACTGAGATAACCCAGGAAATGTCGTGGTAGAGCAATTTATGAAAACCTTGTACTGATACTTTGACTCTTCTGTGGATGATCAGAATTGGGGATCTATAGCTTTGTTCCACAGACCTTGTGATTATCTAAATCACATTATTTTTATGGATGACGATCAGACAAATCTAATTGCAGACCACATTCCTCTGGGTTAATACTAAGACAAAAATATTCAAAAAACTCTATTCATCTGGGCACCCAAACCTGAATTATTTTGTTCACCACGCTCTTTTCAGCAAACATAGGCTATATTTTAAAGGTTATTCACAAAATAAACGAAAAGCAAACTGCAGATCCTCAGTTGGCACAAAGTGATGTTGCCCTACTGACATTAATTAAAGCTTTCACTCCTATGTCATCTGAAAACCTCATCCCAAGTCTTTATTAAACATTCGCAAATTGAGCAAAAGTTGGTATCAGCAAAACCTGCACTAGTTTAACTACCAGAATGATTTGTACATGGACTCTCTCAAATCAATTTAAATCTAGCTTATGAAGGCTTAGCTTCTACTGGTGGATTTGCAAGCTCAAGCGAAATGCCTTTGACATGTTCTAAGCTGACATAAGAATGTTCACTCATGACTTTACATCAGTTTAACTAAATTGGATTCAAAACTGAAAAACAGTGGGAAGACTAGCCCAAAGCATCTGAAAAGTGAGACTGAAATAGGAAAGAAATAACGTGAAAAAGTTCACATCTCTATCTGAGACTAGCAAGAGGTTCGCTTGATGGAGATCTCACGTGGTGTACACACAAGCATCAGGCCAGCAAGTTTCTTTCCTAACATGCTCATACTTGTAGGCCCCCCTGGTCCCTGACTCAACATCCCTTTTCTTCCCTGTACCATTGCTGCAGCTGAAATGTATTCAGTCATTCTGAGCTATCAGAGGTAGTGAATTAGCTTGTAAACTGTGATAAAGCGTAATTGAAAATACGTGCTATTGGAAAATCAAATCATTTTATTTTTAGTTTGTCTAACCACACTTAACACGACTAGGGACAGTTAGACCTTTCATTATTAGGAGTTCATATGCTCCAAAATGCACAGGAAAATTACCAGTGCAGTGATGGATTAAATAATGGTAATGTTGAGAAGCAAACACTGACAGTAAGAAAATAATAATAGTTTGCTTTATAACATCTTTCTCTTGAATAACTCAGAGATCTCTGCATGACTGGAACAGGAGTAAGAAAACTCTCATTTATACTGCAGCAAGAGACTTATTTCATTGACACTGTACCTAAATTTTGGAAACAAAGGCACCAAGTAACACTTGGATAGCCAAGAGGATCTGTTACCATCAGACTTCAGTTTTTTCCCTGTCTTCGAACAGTCTGGAACCTGTCTGATTTTGCCACAAGTCTCAGCAGCTCCTATCCCATGAGAGATCTGCAAAATAAAGCTGAACTATTGCCATCTTGTCCTTCTGTCCCCCCAAAAGACCAGTATCCCACTTGACAGTTACTGTAGACCCAAGGGTTTCCATGCATGTGCCACCATCCTGCCTCACCCACTGCTTTCCAGGCCATATTAGAACCGTATTAGTAAATTTAGACCTGCCTGTCCCAAATCATTAAACTTCCCACATGTCCTCATTTTTTGTCCATCAGGGAATTATTTCAGAGCTACCACTTCCCTGAAAGTTTCTTCCCAGCAAGGGAGGTTATTGCAGTATTTTAAAAGGATGAGTGGGATGATGATAGACCATTTAATGTGAAAATGATACTAGGCAAAGTCATGGTGAGGCTGCTACAAGATACATGCAGGAAAGAAATAGCATAATTAATGCTAGTTAGCATGATTTCATGGGAATAGTTCTTGTAAAACTGATACGGTCCTTTGATTTGATTACAAATTATGCTGATGATGGTAACTGTGCTGATATAATATCCTTAGATTTCAGAAAGGAATCTGATACCACGGGACATTGTGATGAAAACACGAGCTTTGTACCAAGCCAAGTAAACATCTTTTAAATTAATTTAAAATGGGTGATGGATCTCAAAAAGTAATTGTAAACAGTGATGACACTGTAAATTTGGTGATGAGTGTCTCAGGGTGAGGGATCCTTCAGAATGAGAACTGTCCTTAATCTGGACTTTAACAGTATCTGGAAGAAAACATAAAATCTTTGCTGACAACCATAAAGTGAGTGGAGTAGTAAGTGATGTTACGGGAATTATACTGACTGATCTGGATCACAGTGAAAAACAGATCAATTGCACAACAAGCGTTATAGTAAAACCACATACATCGTACACCTTGGGAGGAGGAAAGTAGGTCACTCTGGGGGAAGTGTCTTGGAAAACAGCAGCTGAGAAGGACTTAAGGATCGGGATGACTGTTCAACAGGACACAAGTTTTTGGGCAGGTCCAATAAACAAGGTGACTATTACAATACGTCAATAGGCAGGAAAATAACCCAAAAAGCAGAGGGAGAGAGCAGTGCTTCAATACTGGAATTCCACCAAACTGCTGGAAATGGAGTGTTAAAGATGGGAAAGTCTCTGCAGGGAGATACGAATGTGATTAGAAATCTGAAGGAACCAGGGCAGTTAGAAAGAATCTCTGGTTTTTTAATTACCCAAAGCAATGTTCAATGGTAACTCACCTGCAGTGAAGACGGGAATGATAGGAGAATATATCTAACAGCAGATGACTAGTGCCTCAAGTTGAACAAATTCAACCTAAAAATACAGCACCTGTTTCTAATGGTGAGAACAAAGGACGCTAGGAATAGATTATCTAATAATAATTTTTTTTGTCTGTTATTTGACATTGTGACACTGTAAATTAGTTGTCTTTGCAAAAGTTGTGTCCAGGCTTGGCTAGGAGTTATAATTGGGCCTGAAATTACTGCAGGAAGTCTGATGGGCTCTGTTGTATCAAAGGGAGGATTAACACACTGTGCAAGTCTATTTCTGGATTTAAAATCTGAATCAGCTTCGGCTGAAGAGGTGGCCTATGAGATCAGGAGAGCTGGAGGCCAGGCACAGGCTATAGATCTGCACTTCTGTGGATTAGTTCAGAGGGTGGCTCAGTTTCTACGTTATCCCTCTTTGGGGAGTCACCTGGAAGTGGTTTCACCTATAAAGGTTTTGACGGAAACCAAGAGGTATGAAACTTTTTCTTATACATGACTATATATGATGCTATTCCTAGATGCAGGAGAAATTCAACCTTTTCCATGGCAAGGTTTACAGCTGAACTTTTAACATGAATTTATGATAACAACTTCCCTTTATGTATCCAGGTCTTTAAGTCTTCTCACTTGTCTCAGTTCAAATCAGGAGTGCTTCCAGCAGACCAAATGGCATCAGGCTGGTGTAAGAGCAGAAGCAGTGAGAGAAGAATGAAACCCTTGTTAATAATTCATTTGGAGAGGTGTTACAGGATTTGCTCCAGCCTCACGTCGTGTTTTGTTATCTACAAGCCATTGAACAGAATTCAGCAGAAAGAAAAAAGCAGGATGCAGGCATGGCCATCACTTGCACTGCTGAAACCTGTGTCTGTGTCCTGTCATGGGGCTTGCGGATGGGAGCTGGGTTCAGTGGCATATGTAACATAAGTACAGTGGCTTTGTGCTAGCATGGGTTAAAACTGAACAAAAGTATTGTCCTGCATAGCAGCAAATGAAAGCTACTTTGACAAGGGCCGAGGCTATATCCAAAAAAGCCCTTGATTTGGAAATTATTTGGCATTTTGGTTAATGCGGTAAATTTGGTCTTAAAACAATCAACTTAGAAATTGATTAACATCCAAAACTGAAAGATAAAATTAGCAAAAAAAAAAAAGAAAAAAAAAAAGAAAGAAAATGAAAAGTCATCAGGAATGGGCCTATACAGAAAAAAAAATAAAAATGGTCAAGCAGCTTTTCCTGTGTGAAAATTAGCTTCATTCATAAATGCTCAAAATACAAATCTGGATTTTGAAAGATCCACATAATTATGTGTTGTATATTGTAGATGAAGCTGCTGCTATACATGCATGAAGCCCATTTTACTCTTCCGGGTATTTTTCTTCCTCAGCAATGCAAAGATGGGGAAATTAATGTCACATTACTAGCTTGTCAGAAAATTGGACACTAATACAAGAGAAAACAAGAGCTTTTCCATAATCAAATTCACAATTGAATAAAATTTAATTTTTATGGATCGATATCACCTTGTCTCAGTTTCAGAAATGTAGATGGAGAAGAGGAAGAGCTTAGTGTCTGCCTACCAGATTTTAATCTCCAAAGTATGAGGCAGAGATGGAGACAAATTCATGTAGTGGGGCTGGTGTCTGCAATAATGCTGTCAGACAGCTCTGCCTGGACTGTGCAATGGCAACATCTCCAGAAGCTGTGAATATGGAGAAACCTTGTTGACATAGGAAGGGGGAAACTACATTTTGTGATAGTCTTCTTCCCTCAGAAAACGTCTTTAGTATAATGATGGACATGCATAAACATCTTAATGCTCAAAACAGTAAACGATGTGCAGTTTGCCTGGTTGATGTACTGGTATTATAATGCTGCATTCAAACCTGACAGCTGTAGAGGGTCTGACCTTTATTTCTTTTGCATGGCTTCAGAATGGTGTCCATTGCCAGTGCCATCATTCCCACACCTTAAAAGCTCCTTTTGCTTTTCATTTTTACGCATGATTTTACACAGGGGTTTACAGCCCTGCCTGGATTGGTGTGTAGGAACTTTACAGAATGTCACAGGAAAAAATAATGCATTTTTTGTTAAATTAGAATGGTTTCACTGTTTTAATCATGCATACTGATCAGACAGGGGAAGCTGGCTTAGTACAGTATGTCTCAATCAGTTATTATTTAAATGGCCAAAATTTATCACAGCTGGAGTTCACATCCCAAGGACTATGGAAGCCTGAGTTCAGTAAAAGATTTCAGAAATCTTTTTTTGTCTATTTTGAGACAGTTATGTACCCCAGCCAATTCCAATTAGTTGTATGATTATGAGAGATAATTTGACTGAAGTGTATTATCTAGTAGGATCTGAGAGGTCAAGATGACTTCACAGATTGCTCCCAAATTAGAAGATTCCTCTTGAAAAAGCATCCTCCTATCGATGGGATGCCAATAGATTAGCTCTGCAATTACAAAAGGAAAAAAATAATCATGTGTGAAGCCTTTAATGGTGGCCGGGCTCCTTAGGTAGTGTTAGTAGTTATCCACATGTTACCATGTCAGGGTTCAGCCTAGTTAATCAAGGGTGCACAACAGCTTGTTAGCCAAGTGTCTGTATAAGTGCTGACATTAATTCTGGTTTTCCTCTCCTGTTTCCCTCAAGGTGGTGGTCAATGCCCTCGTGGGAGCCATTCCTTCCATCATGAATGTTCTGCTCGTTTGCCTCATCTTCTGGCTTATCTTTAGCATCATGGGAGTCAACCTGTTTGCTGGGAAGTTTGGGAAGTGCATTAATAAGACAGAAGGAGATATGCCTTTAGACTCTAAAATTATTAACAACATGAGTGACTGTATACTCTATAACGTGTCAGGCACGTTTTACTGGACAAAAGTTAAAGTTAACTTCGATAATGTTGGTGCTGGGTACCTGGCTCTGCTACAAGTGGTAAGTGTGACCACCATAAACTGATGTGCAAATGTTGCTTGTTCCTATTGAAATCATCAGTTTAAAGGCTCAGGTTAACCTCTGAACTTTTCTGGCTCTTTCAGCCTTACCCGTCAGGGGAATGCTCTTCCTCAGTTGTAAACGAGTCCTATTTGGCATATTAATTTGGTCTAGAGATATTTATGGCAGCTTCTGTTTTTAATTTGAGTTTCTGGTACATCACTGATATAGACCTCTGGGAGGTGATGGGACTATTGAGGTGAATAAAAAAACATTTTGTCAATATTGTAATCCAGAGCAAAGTTCAGTTCCAGAAACAAAAAGTCATGGTCCAGGAAGGACAGTTCATGCAGACAGAGTGCACTGGCCTTTCAGAACAGCCTGAGACTTCACTATTCCCTCCTTAGAAAAAATGAAGTTGTAGTGCCTTCAGTTACTCAGCTGAAGTCATTGCATAAAGTTGTAGTCACAAAGTAATCTTAATTTACAGTCGTCTGCTCACCTTCCATAGAGATGTTCAAGAAGGACACTGGTGCCTCTCATTCTCTTTCCTCACCTCATTTCCAGCTCGTAACATAATGAGCCAGATTGAACCGAACTACGAAATGTAGTGGTGATCAGGTTGCTGTAACTCCATGCAGCCTGGTCTCTCTGGAAAGGTAACAAGAGCCTATCAGAGAAGAGACTGTTGAGGTTCAAATACGATGGCAATATTTGATCTATAAAGACAGAAGTAAGCCACTTTTACAAGCTTTTGCAACAACAAATGGAAAACATAGATAAACGGGTTGTATGCACTGAGATTTACTGTGTTGTGACGCAGCACAACCTAATGGACAGAGCCACAGGAGACTCCATGTGCTTGTCTAGGCTTTGCCACTGGACTGCTGAGTGATTTTAGCCAAATAACTTTGTGTTTCAATTCTATGGGACCTTGATGTAAAATAGTGGTAATGATACTTATTTCCATTGTTGCTAAGTTGCTCTGAAGCCTAGTGATGACAAGGGCTGCATACGCACCAGGAGTGTTTGTTGTATTGCATTTTATGTACAGAGTTAAACAAGTCCCTCGCTACATCCTTGGACCAGGAGGTTATTTTATTGAAGCATCTGTGATGGCATTCCTTGCTTCTGGGATAAAAACTTGCATGCTGGGAGCTCAATTCAGCTGTCACGTATAGATATCCACCCTTTGCAATGCAGTAGGGTACTACCCTGGGCCCCCACCTGCCCTTCCAAGAGGGCATGAACCTCCCACAGGTCCCCATCAGATCTGCCAGCCCTTCTCCTTCCCACGATGCAAGTTTTCTTTCTCCTAGTGCTTTTTTTCTCTGTCACAGATGCATGAAATAGCTCCATGAAGTAGCTTTCCTTTATTGTAGAAATGCTTATCCTTATATACTCTATTCCTGGTCCACATACGCTTGCGTTTGAGATCTTCCGACCACTGTCCTCGAGTCTTTGCTTTCATACCCTCTGGAAGGCAGAAAGGTTAGAATGGGCACAACCACTTTTGATTCTTTCCATGACATAAAGCTGAACTTGCTGAAAGCAAGAGCTTTTATCCTTTGCATGTAATTATGATATTCAGCTCACCCATGCAGGGCAGATTAATTCACTTTGGATGTCTTTAATTAGATTTTCCATTCTATATAATTCTTTCTTTGTCTTTTATTTAAACATCCAATCCAGCTGAGCAAAAGTTTCCAGGTTTAAAATATTGTGCTGCTTATGTTCTTCATGACTGTATAACAGATGCTCGGTTTGCTTGGTGAAAAAAACTCCATCAGAGTAGTAGTTATTCCTTCACCATTTCTCTTATAAGACTCAAGCTCCAACTTTCTGAAAATCTGCAACTTTGCGTAAGTTGGCATTTCCTAAGGCGTATCCTGAAGCAGTCCCTTCTACTGTTCGGCAGTATCAGTTCCTGAGCACTTGGCACTGAAGGTACTGGTACCATTCAGCAGGTGGGACTGCCTTCTGTTGGGATGAGTGATGGCAGAAGAAACATAACTAGTCATAAGGTGGATCTCGGCACATTTATGAAGGGACGGTCTAGTACCACTGTTTTCCAGCTGAAAATGGACTTGATGACTGTGCCGGTTTCCATCAAACCTGCATTCCCATATTGGGTAGCAGAGAAGTAGGTTTTCAAGTTGCAGAAGTAAAAAAGAAGTGCCATAAATATAGAGAGTGTACAGGCTGGACAAACTGATCATGGCAGGACATGAGGGAGCCCTAAAACTTTGTTCAGCTTCTATGGCAGGTGCTGGCTCCTGCTTCCAGGACAAAAGGCAGGAGCCAGATACCATTAGGGGATTGATTTTAACCTTCATCCTGCACCTGGAGCTCTTATGTCCGCTGCTAATGATGGTCTTAGGCAATAAAGTGTAAAGGTGACACTCACAGAGAAGAGGCCCAAACATCTGGATTTCCTTTGCCAGACTCCAACCGAAGGGTGTTGGTTACAGGTGCTCCTTTCCAAATATCCTCCATATGGGGTCACATTTCATGAGCAAACTACCATAGGAATTGCAGGGGATCAGTTAACAGCTCAGCTCTCCTAGAGAGGCAGACACATCCATGCATCTTTGTGCACACTGAGACAGTGCACAGCAATGATGAGATAAGCATTTTGGTTACAACCCTCCGGGATCCAAAATATGAGCTTTTAAGTGGGACTTGTCTTTTGACTGTTGACATTTTCAGCTGCTGCAACACACTCTTTAAGTGACTCTGAAGTTACCTCTGAATGCCTGAATGTGTCTGAAAATCCAAATGGAAATATGTAAACCAAATCTGTCTGCCTAATGTTCTGTCTTCACTTCTACAGCATCCTTGAAAGAAATGAGAAGCTGCTACTATGGTAACTTTAAGGCTTACTACTATCCAGAGGCAAACTTTCTGACAGTGTAGTTGAGAGCTGCATGAAACTTTGCCCAAATATCCTTTGCTCTTTTCCTATCTTGTTTAGGATCCATCATGTTGTTCTGAAGTTGCCATTTTGAATTAATGAGAAAACGTTCATTTGAAGCGGTTGGTCAAGCTTCAAGCTTCTCCAACTAACAAACGGGCGGTCTCACAACAGATTACTAAAATAGGAGGTAGTCTATGCTCACTCTACAAGCAAGAGAAATGCTTCATTCACGGGGAGGAAAAGACCTTTATAATCATGACTTTTTAATTTGCAAGGGCGATTCACTCTTCTAGGGACTTAACACCCTTAACACCCTAATCTATCAGGAAAAAATCATTGCTACAACCCAGCGCTTCAGTAATGCTTTTTCTATATTCCCAGAATTGCTTTGCAGATCATAGCACCTATGTTCTATAAATCTGTATTTGAGCTGAAGAAAGAAGTTTCTTAAATGTCCAGGGGGAGTTTTGCATTTCCCTTGCAGAATCCTTCCCTTCACTTTATGATCATCTCCACATATTTTTTTGCAACCTATCTTGAAATTTCAGCAATCTATTGAACACCAAGAAAACAAGTGGTCTCTCATGCAGCATCTGGCCTGCTTGTAAAAGTTCTCCTTAGACAGGAACAGACTTACATCTAATATTACCTACACCTCTTTGTCACTCTGGGATTCCAGACAACAGAGGCACTCCTAGACCATTACAGCAATCAGGAGCTGTAGAGTTAAATCAACCCCTCATGCCAGGTTCGAAGTCATGACTGAGCTCATAAATCAGCTACAAAATGGTCATGAGACAGCGGTGTGTGTCTAAAGTTACTGAGTTACACGATCTCTTGCACTTCTGTAAACTGTAATGCTAGATTTTACTTTTGCTGTGGATGCAAAATGTGCAAAAAATCTATGCTTCTGAACAAACCATGAATTGATGCGCTAGGGTAGATATCTCCATATCTCCAAAGATCAGGAGTAAGCAGTATTTCCATGAGGAATTACTGGTGGAAGTTCAATGGGAGCAGAGGCAGTGTTCTTGGAGCCTGCATAGCCCTGTGGAGTGCAGACCTATGGGCTGCTCTGATGGGTCCAACGCTCGGTGGTGCCCTCCCCAGCAAATCGTCTTAATGAGAAATAAACACAAAACAAATGTCCAGTATAAAATTGCTGCTATGATGAAACGGAACAAACTGAAAAATTCAACAGAAAAGCCAGCAGACAGTGGAGTTAGCATAGCCAACTTAAATACGTGTAGTTTGGCTGTACTATTGATGGCTCTGTTTTAACTTTCATAAGTTTCTCTCACCAATAGGAATGCTTAAAGCAGCATTTCAGAAATGCAAAGACCAGTACTTCTTCCATCAAAAGCAGCCATTTTTGTTGCACTATTGCAGTCCTTTTCTAGAAAAAAAAAAAATCCTCGCAGGTTTAAAGGCTTGTTTTATTTTAAGGGACCATTTGGTTTGAGGGCAGCTAGTGCCGTCCCACCTATCTGTCTTCCTCCCCACTAATTTACTGCATTGCAGCTCTAACCACCAGTCAAATAACAAAATGTAATCCCATCCCAAGATGAGTTTATCAGTAGATAATCTCATCACATGACAGTTTCAGTAGAAAATGGTGTTTCTCTGGATAGCTTCCAGGCAGGATAATATCACAAACACTCCCATGAAGATTTTGTCACTTCCTTATCCAGAGTGTAAGTGGTTACTAATTCCAGATAAATAATTTCTTTCCCCAGTGTTATATTTCTTTCATTCTCAGTATTTTTTACCCTCTGCAGATGAAGTATCTAGGGAACCTACCAGAAGCCCCATGGATTTTTAATTCTCTTACTTCTGGACAACTGGGAAAAACAGAAAATCACAGTACTTCATTCTCTTAATATTTATTTTTGTCAGATCACTTCATCATCTGTTACCGCTATAAACTACTGTGCCTTACAGTAGAATCTCTCATCTCTGTGGTACACATTGAGGGGTAAAAGAGGTACTCAAGAGAAAAGATTTCCTCCCAAATGGGAGAAAAGTACAGGCTAAGATCATATCATTTTGTGCCACAGGGAAAGGATTTCTTGTTTCACCCTGTCCACGCTTTCTGAACGGCACTTTGAGCTGAAAGCTCCAAGCGACTGTAATGACACCAGAAAATCTGTCATCAGATTAGAAAGAGAACGGCAAAAAAGGAAAATATTAGAACAGTTAAGGAGAATCAGCATGACAGGTTCAAATAATTATTTGTTTCAATAAAACTGCTGATCAATCCTGTAAATGCTTTACATCTAAAGTGGTTTTTAACACACAGTACCATGGAATAGATTTTCCAAAGGGTTCTCGTTTTGGGGGTTTAATCTCTTTCAACCAGTAGATAAAAATGAATACAACCTTTCAAACATTTTATATGTACTTTCATGAGAAATATGGTTGACCTCTTGTACCTTTTCCTTTGGCTCAGTAGCCTTCAGAGGGAAATGGGAAGGCAATGTTACCTCCAGGATTTAATTTAATAATAGAGAGTGTATAATGGAGCATTTCTAAAACTACTGGCTGTACCTAGCTCAACACAAATGCCTGGGATTCTCCTGGGAACCACTGGCCGAATTCCTATTAGCATTATCTGGAATTGCATGCCTACGCACCAGGAGAAAATTCAACCGAAGTATCAGTAGGATGCAAAAAAATATTGGGTGTGGGTCTTTCATGCATGCTAGTGTAAATCTGATTAAATTAATAAATCTAAAAATGCCTCATTATCTGCTCAGACTGATTTTAAATCCAGCGTAAGTCTAAATGGGTCAGAAGTCAAATGAAAAACAACCCCAAACTAAAATAAAGGCAATGTGGCTTAGGCCAGAGTCAGACCTAATGCCAGGTATGTTTAGCATCAAGCTGTGTCTAATGAAAGGCATATATTGAGAGCAGAGAGTCATGGTTTTGCTACAGAATAGTAAAATCACTTCTACATGTTTCTTCTCCTAGGAGTGTTATCACTGCCCGCCCTTTGTCTATTACAGGTTCCAGTAAGAGACACTGACTTTTGTGGAATCCTTCCTTGTTTAAACATTTTTTTTAAAAAAAATTAAAACTCTGATTTAAAAAAAAAGAAATCTGAACAGTAAAGCAGATTGAGTTTCCAGGGCCAGGCTCACAGCAGGTGCTGATTGCCTTTGCTCCTTTCAAGTCAGCTGTGATTTATGCAGCTCCCTGGGCTTTAACATTGCCTTGATTTACCCTGTTTTAAAAAAGGGCAGAATCCAAGCTTCAGTGACAACGTAGTCACTGCCCATCAGTCTGAACAAGCAATATGGATGGAATCCATCTCACCTGGTCCAAGACTTGTGCAGGATGGTGCTCCGAGTTGTCCTGTGTAGCCATATCTGTTCATTACTTGAAATTCTTAAGGTCAAAACTTCCAAAGATTTAATTGCCATGTTTTCTGTCCTTTTTAAAATCTCTTTTAAAAACCTCTGTTTTATCCCTACAAGTGCAGAAGATCAGAAAACATGAATGAGAGAATCCAGAATTATTTTAAGTATCTAAAAGAACATAAACTCATGGATAAATATTGCTTTAAAGGAGAGGCAATTCATTAACTGCAACAAATATGCTCAACATTGCATTTTGAAAACTCATCACAGAGATGATAAAAACATTTCAAGATATACTTATTTGATATGCTTAATTACGTATTTTGTGGGGTTTTTTTCAGGCCACATTTAAAGGTTGGATGGATATTATGTATGCAGCAGTGGATTCACGAGAGGTAGGTCACTACAAGGAAAGGAATCATTTCCTTTTGCATTGACTTTCGCAGCATTTGTGGTGTTTAACAACAACAACAACAACAACAGATACACGCAGGTTGCCTGTCCCTGTCTTACTCTGATTGAGACAGTTGTGGACGTTCATTTTTTGCAACTGCTACTGAAGCATCGCAACTCTGAGATTAAAACAAATGTAGTGCTCAGTTCTACACAACTGGTTTATCTATTCGTACTGCAAAACTCCCAACACAGAGAGGTACCTCCAGCGTGAGACTGAGTCTACCAAAAATCTAAATTGTCCTCTTTGTTTCTTCCACTCTCCCTGTTGACTGCCATATTTTCCAAAGATCTAACTTCTGATAATAGAGCCTCAAGTGCTGGGTTTACATTGCATTCCCCTGTAACCCACATACTCAACGGTCCCTATATCTTCAGCTTGTGCAAGTTTTTCTCTGCAACCAGCAGCTCCACTCAAGGAAGGTGGAGGAGCTCCTGGCA